ATTTCCGTAGGGATTTTCTGTATTGAGAGCAGCGAATATGGATAGTACACAGTATCCTATCATGATCACCGAACCCTAATTGATCAATTTCAGTGTGTTTATGGGGTGTCTTGGACGATCAGAACTGTCTGATCCCCAATAATCAGTTTTTTCACATGAAATTACTTATCGAATTCCTTGTTGTCGTTTTCTTTCCATACCTATTCCCACCTACATTTTCGGTGAACAAGCTACCTCAAAGTCTCTTGGTATCGGTTGAGGAAATCCTCGCTCACCCGGCCGAGCAAGTGTTCAACACGGATATTATGACACTAACTGATTGTAGCCTGGATTCCGGATTGGGTTATGTGTGTAATCACAGATCATCTGCCTCAGTCCTGCCACCATTACCAATAGCTTCACTTTCTGCACCAACCAGTGGTACTCCCCAATCGCTTATTCTAAACACGAGAATTGTGGGTGCACTCACGGATCTGGTCTCTACCATCTACTGCAATCTGGAGAAGTCTGTCGCATCGATCGAGAGAAAAGGGAACAAGCAGGCCGTATCGTCTAACATATCGTCGTCGGCTGCGGGTACCCCGGATCAGTCTGACGGGGAAGGTTCGGAGAGCAACTATAAAATCCTAATTGCTCCGGGTGAATCATCCTCTTCACGACTATCAGATGATTCTGGTGCGACGGATGAGCAGAAAGTTGCCGGCAAACAGTTCGGTAATTACACTCCCACCGATCCCACTACTGGACCGCCGTCTCAAAATGATGCCAGGTCAGTGAAAGCTCTATCTGTGATTCAATTGTGCCTTTACTTTCGTCATCATTTATTTGAAATGGAATAATGACGACTTGATGTAATCAAGTGTGTGTGTGTGTGTGTGATAACCATTTCCCGCATCGGTACAGTTACTGATGATGACTATATTTTTGCAAACAACCGTGACATTGGCACTTGATTACTAAAAATGTTCCTATTCATGTTCCGTTGCATGTGCACGGTAACTCGTTAGTTCTATGCGATAAATAAGAGCTCCGTTGGTAGTGCATGATTTGGACAAACTGAATATTCAACAAATCAACTTAAATAAAATAACTAATAATATGACGTAAGAAACAACTCAAAATTCGTTTTTTGCCTAATTTTCTTACTTGACGAGGAGCTTGAATCTCTAGATATCCATGCGGTTAAATTTGTTCTGCTTATCCACTTGTTCGTGATTAAGAGCGAACTTTTATCTGATACACATTACCGTACAATTTTCACGCTTCATTTACCAATGCGCACGGAAATATTAATTTGGAAAAAAGTACTGTTAGAAATATTAAGCATCAAGCCATTATTTTCTAACTCCAGATTTCTCCCAAAGAGCCACATCTGTACTCCTGCAACCGTCTTTACTGACAGTCGTACTTCTACGTATCATACCACATCAAAATATGCTGTTTCGCGCACACTTCTGTACACGCGTAAATGGTCAAATCAACTGAATCACTTTCACGGTAGTTCAACTCTGAGTATTTTCACCAAACTAGGCTAAGTTTCTGTCATCACAGCTTTCAATCAATCGGTAAATGGTAAGGTTATTCAGATCCCCAGTGTGTGCCGTATTCTTCTGTTATGTGGTAGTATCAATGTGGATGTGTATGAGATACAAAGTGCGAGAGTCTCGTTATACGGAGTCTACCTGATCTCGTTTATGACGCTGAAAACCTGGTTTATGTCACATTGCTTGTGTAAAATCACAGTTTCGCTAAATTTATTGATTCTTCTCACACGTTCATCCTCTACCAATCACCCATCGGGTTTGTTTTAATGCAACACTGCACACACACTACAATAGTGATTATTTTTGAACGTTGTCGAATAAGCACTCGAAGTCTGTTCTTAGTGTTGACTTTAAGAGATATTTTGACTGTGAGTAACGAAGGATTTGGTTCAATTTCGAAGTGGAAATTCGTCGTGTATATGTCAAATGAAGCGTGAACTGAAAAGCTAGGAGGCACTGGACAGCTGTTTCTACCTGGTTGGGTCTCATCAGCAGTGCGAATCCATCAACCCAAGTGGGGATCGAACCCGGGACCTCATGGGCAGAACGTAATGATGCTACCCACTCGGCCGCCAGGCAGCTGATCAAACCGTTTTTCATTTGCCATTTACACGATATAGCACAACCCATCTTTGCGAGCTTGTTGCAGGCCACAGACCTCGCTCATCTCAGCACTAGCCTCCCGGGGTTATGACTCGGTCTGAAAATTTCATACTAGCTGCTCCGTGGCGTGGGCGATAGCATGCTTGCGTTCTGTCCATGAGGTCCCGGGTTCGATCCCCAATGGGGTCGATGGACTCGCACCGCTGATAAAACCCAGCCAGACCGAAACAGCTGTCCAGTGATTCCTAGCTTTTCAGTTCACGCTTCATTTGACATATGCACAACGAATTTCCCCTTTGAAATATTTTTACAGCTTCCTTCAGCCGCAGCCACGCTCGTTATGTTCCACTTCTAGGTCATTTGACTAAGGTACTGTAAATGTGTACATTATCCCGGTCCTTGACCATGTATGGATCTGAAATACATCCCTGTTTCCGGACGGTATGTTGCTACACCCATTTCGACGATTACTTGACATGGCGTACAAAATGGAGGCCATTGGATGTGAAAAGAATGTCGGGTAAACAAACAACAAAAGGTCAAGCGTGTATGTACGTCTGAGAGACGGCATCTGTTCATCAAGGTCGTGTGGACGTTTTTTCGTACACAATCCCTAAGTAACCATAAGATCCCTACTCATGATGTATCTGGTTTCTTTTCTTTATCCTTATGCTGTGAAGAAAACCGTTCTCAGAGCTGAATATAAAGTTATGATATAAGGGGAACACTTATTTACCAGTGAAACGTATAATGAACAAACTGAAAAGCATAAACTCTTTTCGGACTGACCTTACAAAATGTGACCAAATGATACAGATGTTTATCTTCTTTAATCTGAACCTGGTAACACAAGTGGACAACGCATGACGAGGTTCGGCACAGGCTATTACGTAGTTTTGGTAATTCCTGAGCCTCGTAGACTACCATACTTGGAGCTTGTATTGCACTGTATAGGCTATTTCGGATTGTTTTATGCTTTGAGACCAGTTTTCATTGAAGGAGTATCAAGGGCGGCCAGTTTGTATCCCGACGCAAATGGATGAAAGCCTTTCTCGGTAGATCCATTTGCGTCAGTCGTTGTGCTGGGGATCAGAAACATTAGAAAGATCCAGTTGAGTATTATGCATATCGGCATCGAATCTATCCACATTCTTCTTAGCTTTGTAATATTCCAAGGTTACCGTTTTGTCCCACTCCTTTTGCCATCGATTGACCGAATTGATAATCAAAAATGGCTGTGGGGATGATTTGAACTACAGAAAGTAATTCAGTTGTTAAATTGGTTATTTTCTGAATAGAAACAGGCTCTAAAGAGGTCGTTCAAGACTAAATTCTCAGGGTTGCCAAAAATTGATGATCATGGAATTTTCGTTGGACAAACGCTCATCGATGAAATTTGGAAAACGTGCTTTAACAGCTGATGTGGTATCTTGAATTTGTTTCGTCATTTTTACAGTGGCATCAATAATTCCAGCCAAAGAAGCTTGTTAAGTGGTCTGATGTAGTGCGTGTGGAATGAAGTTGGATAAAGAGTGAAACCTCGGTTTACTCATTCAACTGGTTTCTGATTTGACTGCTATGTCGATAATGTTCACACACCTTTTCCGACCAAGCTTTAGCCAAAATCAGTAATCCTTTAACCTCGATCCGTACTCCTTTAACCAAACCGCGCAGTGCTCTAGTCACGAGCCGTTGTCCTTTGCCCTCGACGCACAAACTTCAGTCATGTCGCTGTACAAATGTTGATTTTGCAAAGCTTGGGTAAGAAACGAGGTGTGGCGATAGCATGATGCACCTCATTTTGATTGGAGAAGGTTTAAACGGTGTGCCCGATTTGGCACATCTCGTATGCCTTCAGTGTTTCCATCTAAAATACGCTACTTCTGTAGGTAAAAATTTCAAATGAAACAATTGGCATATTGTTTTTGGTTTAAAAGCCGCGGTATTAATCGAAATTGGTACAATTAAAAACGAATGCTTCTGTGCCGTACCTCCATCTAAAGTGAACTCTGTTTTCGAGAGTTGGATACATTAACAGTCCGAGGATAATGAACACCGTTCAGCAAAGACCCGTTGTGCCACATCTTTTACAATCGAACTTTAAGTAAAACCAGCAAGTTTTGAGCCCCGATGTGTCAAACGTTTCACCGTTAATAGATTGATGATTGTAATGGGGTGTACGGTGAAACACAAAAAAAAAATTTTTTATTCCAGATATTTTCCATTTTCCCGTGTTCAACTGTTTCACCCCTTTTTCACTCTGTTCTGTACTCCAATCCACCTGTCCCCTTTCATTGTTATTGCCATTATTGTTGTTGCGTTGGCACCATGCTTGTCTACAAGCCGGTGGTAATATATATACATATATATATATATATCCATCTCTTAAAATGGAGTTCACTTTAAATAGAGATACGGTACGTAAGCATTCTTTTTTATTGTGTTAATTTTTGATTCATGGTATGACCTTTAGATGAAAAACAACATACCGTTTGTATTGGATTTGTGATTTTAATTACAGAAGAAGCACATTTTAGATTTTCCTTTTAGTACCGCCATGTGGCATTCGATTTGTTGGTAATGGAGCTATAAAAACCATGATGGGCGGCAGTAATAGTAGTTGTACCTCACGTACCGTAAACCACCTTATTCATGTGGAGGACCTTAAATCGGATAACCAGAAAAGCCCCCATCGCTTCACTGGCACGGTGATCAGCAGGCAGTTGACCGGAAGATTGGATAAGGATTTCCCGGATAAGTCATCGGTTTATCAATCGTTGAATGCATACTATTATTCGGTTAGGAAACTGATCATCCCGCCTGTGGACCAAAACATCTGTAACTGTTAAAATCTGTGAAAGACTTTTCGTGTGAGGTTGAGCTTCGTCAGGCCTCCATCTTCAATTATTTTTCAGATATGATTAGATGTGTAGCTGAAGAAAGGAACGATTCCGTTGTGATGCGTCAGGCAAACGCAAGGTCATTAATAGAGAAGAAAAGCTAATTTCCTGTCGAATTAAAACAATCGAAGGCAAAAAATGTTTAGGAATGATGATGATGATGATGATGATTTAGTATTTCGACTTTTCTTAATTTTTTCATTGTCTCGGTTGCATTAACCAAGTATATCTAATCGATGTTGTCAGTACTGTAACTATCTTACCAATACTCCCCCGTTTTTAACATGGTCCTTACGCATTCTGCCCTGTCTAGTGATGATCTGTTTGAATCATAATGTGTCTTGGTTAATGCCTCAATATCTCATATACCGCTAGACAATTTATGAGCTTATCTTCCATTCCATTCGACGCTACCTTGACTCCTTTGTACTGAGAACTATACGTGCGATGTGACGCGGTATTTTGATTAGTTTGTTCGTTTTGAACTCACATCCGTGCTGATCTGGCTGTCTGTGAAGGGTCGAGTATACGCTGCGGCAGTCCTGCTATACGGCGCTATAATTTGGTCATTACGAAAACATGATGAAGATAAACTGTCACTGTTCGAACATCGCTATCTATATAGCGTTGCACGAGTCTGGTGGGTAAATCGGGCAGTTATTGCTGATCTTAGGTAACCGCGGTCGTCCACTGGACTATGATTACGTTAGTTGAGGCATGTG